TAAGGTTTGCATTGAATTTGTACATCAGTTTGGGGAGAATTGTCATCCTAAAAATATTAAGCCTTACAATCCATGAACCCAGGAGACTTTCTGCTTATATGTCTTCTTTAGTTTATTTTGTGCTACTTTTGATGTTAAGCTGAAGAGTAATGTGATCTGATTTATACTTTAGGAAGATTACTTAGTATAGAAAAATGGCTGAAGGGGCAAGAGTGCTGCATGAACAAGGGCAGTAATAGCAGGGACAAAGAGGGAGGTACTTGTTATAGAAATGTTTATGATGTAAATCAGCAGGACTTGATAATTGGCTTTACATAGAAAGACAGGGAAGAGTAAAGAATAGGTCCCAGGTTTTGGCTTGAGTCCGTCATGAAGCCAGCAACTGAGACAGGAAAACATGAGAAGCAGTTTGGGAGAAAAGACGAAGCCATCGATTGGTACGTGTTGAGCTTGAGGTGACTGTGAGACGCAGATGAAGAGATAAGGTAATTGGACATTCGAGTCTGATGCCCAAGGGAGCTCACCTAGTCTAGGGACAGTGATTTGAGAATCATCATATAAAAGGGGGACTGTGACAATGCATGAACAGACCAATGGGAACAATAAATGAAGCAGATAGGATGCAAAGGGATACTAATGTTTGAAGGTTTAGCTGATGGCAATGGAGACTGAGAAGGAACAACCAGAGAAGTAGGAGGAAAAACCAGGAAAGAAGTGTGCAGGGGGAGTGGCCTGAAGTGCTGCCATGGGAGTCAGCGGAATTAAACGTCACTGGTCACCTAGCGGAGGGCCCTTCCAGCAGGGGGCTGAACCACACCGCTGCGGACCGAGGAGGTGGGAGTTGAGAAGATGGAGACAGTGTGTAAAGATAATCCTCTCTGGGAGTTTGGAAGGGAATGGAAGGCAGTAAAAAAAGGAGTAACTAAAAATGTACAGGGAGTCGAGAGGAGGGTGTTTTTGCAGGATGAAGAGACTTGGGCGTGTTTATAGGCTGGTGGGAAGGTCTTAGCAGAAAGGGGGAGGATGCGGGATAGAGTAGTGTCCATGTGGGACTGGAGGAGCGGCTGGGAGAAGAAAAGAGGTGCGTGGGTTAAGAATAGTGTTTTCCAATTTTAACGTGCATTCAAATCACATATCTCAAATCTCCCTCTGCTCTCCATCTCCATAGCCACGATCCTGGTCCAAGCCCACGTCCCCCAGGCTTCTCATCTTTCACCTAAACAACTGAGCTGGCCTTCACGCTCAACCTTGTGGTGTAGGTTTGGTGGTGACGAGGCCAGCAGGGGCCTCACCGAACAGAAAACAGAATGGCGCCGGTGGCCTCTGTGGAGTCAGAGGACGAGGCCGTGGGAGTCCGGAGGCGGGCATGCTGTGGGAGCGGCTTTTAGGGATGCTTGGGGTTGGGATATAAGGGGCTTGTTCAAGACGTGGCCCCGCACAGGATGGCTGGGGTCAGGATGAAGGTCACTGCGGAGGTGAAGAAAGAGTATTGGAGGGTCATTCACATGGATGCGCAGAACTGTAGCACCTATTGCCTGACGGACATATGGAAACCCGAGTTTTCGATGGATGGAGATGGGTAACAGGGAGGGAGACAGATAAGATGGCGAGAAAGGGTGGCAGAGTCAAGCCCGGTGGCAGGAGTCTCAAAAAGAATAATATAATAGACGCGCACCTAGGCAAAGCCGGCGGGGAATGGTGGGTTTTTGTGGGGGCAGAGAGGACTGTGGGTAGTTCTGATTTTTTCTTTATACTTTCCTGTTTTCCCCTCAAATTTTCTACACTGAGTATTTTCTAGAAATGTAAAAGATAGAAAAAAATACAAAGAATAACAAACACCTCCATTCACACCATCTAGAGTTTGTCATTGTAAACTCACAAAGTCCCCTGTAACTGTCTCCTCTTCTCAGACAAGCATGGTCAGACAAGTTGGCTTTGGTTTTGGGTACAGGTATACAAGTACCTAAATTAGAATATGCAGGACTTGTGTGTGATTGTTTTATTCACACGGAGGAACTGTTTTTGAAAGGAAGGGGGGTTAAGGTGGGGAGGGGTGTTACAGAGAGAGAAGTCTGAACCATCATCCCCACCATCCTCAGCACCCCCAGCTGAGCAGCCCAGAGAAGACTCAGCCTCCAGTGCAGTGCCGTACTTGGTGGTTAAATGTCCCAGGAAGAGAGAGAATTAATTACTACTTGTATTTCTCTGGCTCGGTTTCAACCCGCCCTCATCTCCCTCAAGTCGGTCATGCCTCAGAACTCTGGAAAGCAGGGAAGGTGATCATTATCCCTGTTTGACAGATGGGAAAGCTGAGGCCCAGGGAATGACAGTGAGCTGCCAGGATATCACAGTGAGTTGGTGGGGGACAAGTGACTAGAGATTTGGCCTGGGATTCTTCTTGGAACCTAAGGCCAGTGTGTAGAGGGGTGGGGCAGAGGCAAGGGACACTGCGTGGCTCGGACTAATGGACTTTGGCCACTTGGCAATAAGGAAGAGAAACAGCAATAACTTCAGGCTGCCAAGGTTGGGCCCAGGCCAGGAAACCGTGTCTGGGGAGAAATGGGTGGGCAGCTCTACCTCCTGAGGACCCAGGAAGCAGGCCCACTCTCTGAAGGCTATGGCTCCCCACTGTCCCCAACCACACTCAGAAGTCAGGGGCGGCCTTCAGTTACACAGGCCTGATTCAAGTCTCAGCTCTACCACTGATAATATGCTGTGTGATCTTTGAAGAGCCCTTCACCTTCCACCTCAATTTCCTCACCTGTAACACATGGTGATGATCTTTCACTCTCAGTATTGTTCCAAGGATAAAAAGAGAGAACCCTCATCTATGCATCTTAAAGCAGAGGCATTTAAAAGGTTTGGTCCTCAGCCCGATTCCAGAAGGCCCCAGATGTGCTCAGTGTCAAGGGGACTGCCTGAGTCTGACCAATCAAGAAGCCACGTGCGTATACATATGAGATTCTACATCAGCTTCACAGTGACAGATGTGCTCCCCAGGACAGCCCTTGGTAGGTGGCCTTTGTCATCATAAAGTTGTTCGTGGACCCTGGATGGCATGCTCAGTGTATTGAGTGCTGGCCTGCAATCGAAAGTGGGTGCTGGTTCGATTCCCAGTCAGGGCACATGCCTGGTTGCAGGCCAGGTCCCCAGGAGGGGGTGTGCGGGAGGCAACCACACATTGATGTTTCTCTCCCTCTTTCTCTCTCCCCCCCCTCTCTAAAAATAAAATATATAAAATCTTTTAAAAAATAAAAATAAAGTTGGTGGAGTGAGGACAGGGTAGTGGCGATGAGGAGGACTTCTTTTCTTTCTTACAAAAGCAATACATGAATAAGTGCTCATTGTCAGACTTCAACAATATAGCCATGTGTCAAACGCAAGACAAAATCATTCCCCTTGCTCCCCTCCAGCCCACACCTCTCTTGGTTGTCATTTTCGTGCGATTGCTTGATATTAGGAACAGCTCATCCATAAACATCGTTAAAGGCATGTGTATCTTAGCTCTCTTTGCTGTGTAGGGTAAAGGCCTAGAAATGGAATTGCTGGGTCACAAATACAAGTATTTGACCATTTACAATATGGATGAGTCCTGCCCAATTGCCCTACTAAAAGGCTGTCCACATGGACATCAACATTCAAATGGCAGCTGATGGCTTGAGGCACTGTCCCCACCTTGCCTTTTACCTTACAAGTTTTCCCCCCCTGTACGTGTCATGCATTGTCCCCCTTCAGACAGCCTACGACAGGGGAGCGTGTCTGCTCGGGGGCTAGTAGACCCGTCTGCCTAACACTGGCGGCCTGCCCATGTCACAGGGGTCCCAGATGCCTCCACTTCCTCCTCTGGTGTTTATGGGCTCCATGAACACTTCAGAGGCCCTGCGTGTGCTGACCCAGGTGCCCAACACACAAGACACGCAGTAGGCACGGGTACAGTTGTGCAGAAAGGCACACCTTCAGTGGGCATCTGCAATGCCAGGCTCGACCGAACACTCAGATGCCATCAGCACCAGCCCCTGCCCTCCAGGGCCCTGACCGGGGAGGTGAAGGGCCACCCACTGAAGAACATGGGCACAGACACCTGGGTGGGAATCTCCACCCCTTCTCGCTGGCCACTCTTGGGCAAGGCCACCTCTGGATGCTGAGGATGGAACACGGGGGGCACTGGTCCAGCCTGGAACACTAAAGGGGCTCAGAACCAAGAGCCATGATTAGTAAAGCTCCTACTATGGTGCTCCTGCCAGGTCTACACTTTGTAGATACTCTAGAGAGTTTTCAAAGCACTTTCTTATCTCATTTTCTGTCACCACAATCTGAGGGGGCATAAATTGTTATCCCTGACTTTCCAGTAAGGGAACAGAGACACCCCCAACACCACTACCACTACCACAACACAGAGGCAAATCTCAGGCCAGGAACAGGGGAGAAAACAATTTGCCTGAGGTCGCATGGCGGGTTAAAGACAGGCCCTGGTTTCCCAAGCAGTGCTCTTTCACCACCCGCTGCCGAGTCTCCCCATCCTCTAGAAAGAAGTGCCTGCCCAGCCTTCACCCTGGAGATATCCGCCCAGTTGCCCACCAGATCACAATAACCACAGCTAATATGCATACGACGCCCCTTCCCCCCTCCCCCCACACTCCCTCGCCTGGAGAACTGGCTCCTCTGAGCCTCAATGTCCATTTGTAAAATGGGCATCACTTTTACAAGTCGGGGTGGGCTGGAAGTGTGTGGACAGCCGTACGGTACCAGCCGGGATCCTTGGCGGGAGCGGGAGGGTGGGGCCAGCGCTGTGACTCAGCCGGTCGGACCAGGAAGGCCTGCCCAGCCGGTCTGACCGGCTCCGGGTGCAAGCAAGCCGCCAGGGCTCTCCCGGGGCAGGGCCGCCCGGGGGGTGACGGGAAAGGAGGCCGGCCGGCTGCCCGCGAGTCCAGGCTCCGGGCGGGAAGTGGGCGCGGCGTGGCTGCGGGGCGCGCGGCGGTCGCTGACCGGGATGGGAGCGGGGCCCCCATGCGGCCCGCCGCCTCTGGAGCCCCGCTGAGCTGGCCTCCGAGACCGCGCGAGGGAGACAAGATGTGTCTGCGCCTTGGTGAGCTGCGAGGGTACGCCCCGGGAGGCACGAACCCACCCAACTCCGCCGGCAGGGAGTGGGGCTCTGCGGTGAGAGCCCCGAACCGCGGGGGTCCAGGTCGCCTTCTCCGCATGTCCCTTTCCGCTCTGGGCCTCAGTTTCCCCAACAGTGATATGGAGGGAGGAGGGCTGCTGGTATCTTCTTCATGCCCCTCCCCCCTCTTCCCCACTTTCCTTTCTTGCTGAGGTGGGACCCCCAAGCCCGGGAAGAAATGCTGGAGAGACCAGCCCCCACCTCGCCCAGAAGAAAGAGAAGAGGAGGTCCAGGGCCCAGGGAGTTCGGAGCCAGAGGCTGCCTGCCTCATGCTTCCTCAGCCCTGTAAAGGGTTCCCACTTCCGTACCCTCCACTCCCCGCAAACAGGCTGGGGAGAAGGACCATTGGCAGACAGGTTCCAGACAGAGGAGCGCCCTCGCTCCCTGGTCACAGCGATGCGGCTCTTGGGCATCAGACAGACCTGGGGGTCCCTGCTCTCTAGCTAAGAGACCTTGTGAGCCTCAGTTTCCTCATCTGTAAAGTGGAGATGGTAGCCCCACCGCCTTGGGACTACTGTGAGGATGAAGTTAGCTCTAAGAATAAAGTGCTTACCACAGTGCCAGCCACACTGCTAAGTGTTCCAAGGATGGTGACTTAGAAACAAAGAAGTCAGAGACGGCTCTCAAACTCTCTGCCCAGTGCTCCAAGCACAGCCCAGTGATGGCACAGCGCCTCCAGTCTAAAGTCATGGGCCTGGGCGGCTGCTGCTGTTTTTCAGGGCGAGCGCAGTCAACCCTGAGCCGGTGGCGTCTGGGTTGCCCGGTGGGTGGGTGGTGGGGTGAGGTGGGTCTGGGCCCTGGAATGAAGCTGCCATGCCCCTTCCTGCTTGCCTAGCAATTAATTTTCACAATGCTATTCCAGTTCTTCAGCCTGGCTGTCCAGCCTGTCATCTGCCCTCTGATTATCCTACATCTGGTCCAGCTCCAGTTCCAGAGGGTCCTATAGGCTCCAGGTTCTCAGAACAGCCAGACCAAAGCCTCCCCACTTTACACTGGAGGACTCTGGGTCTCAGTAAGGAAAGGGGCTGGTACAAGCTCACACAGAGTGTCTGTGACTGGATGGCCCCATCCCTCCCTGATTCAGGGGAACTGTCTTTTGGGACAGGGTCCTCAAGAACATTTAAGCTAGTGATTTGATGCTCCCATTTGATCCACAGATGGGGAGACTGAGATCTAGGAAGGGACTTAGGTCCCACCAGGTGCAGCTGAAGGAAGAAGGGGCTGTTTAGTTCTGGGGACCTGGCCTTCCAGTGTCAGAGTAAGGGATCCAGCAGGGCCAGGGGACCAGCATGGTGTGTCTGCGAGGGTAGATCCAGGACCCTTGGGGGAAATTCCGGAGAACAGACCTGGAGCAGCCTGAGCTGCCCAAGCAGGAGGGTACCCTGCTCCTGGGGATGTGCAGAGAGGATCTGGACAGGCACTTGGCCACTGGGAATTTGCTTGAGTCCCTGATGTTCTTTTGGCCCCAGCCCCCCCCCACCCCATCACCACCACTTCCTGGCCCCTGCCCAGAGCCCCCTGCACCAAGAGCTTCTTTTCCCAGCACCCCCAGGGTATGCCCACTTTGCTATCCATCTGCCCAGCATACACCCCTCCTTTCCCACTGGGAGACAAGGTTTTTTTCCTTTCCGCTTTACAGATGGGGAAATGGAGACTCAGAGGCTTGAGTTTCTGGCCCTGAATCACCCACCTCTAGGCGGTTCAGTTCAGCAGTTGTGAGCTGAGTACCTGCTGTGTGCCAGGTCCTATCCGCCAGACTGAATCCCAAGCAGGACCTGACCCCTGCCTGATGATCCAGGACAGTACCTGCCAAGCTCACTGTGGTACCTCAGGGCCTGGCACAGAGCGGGCACTCCGTGACATCTGTGTAATGAACACATGAGAAAATAAATCAGTGAATGGGAGCTGAGCGGAAATGTTACAGAACCGGCCAATGCTGCTCTGAACAGCTGTGGGGTTTGATTGCCCGCCGCCAAGCAGCATGACTCCCAGTGCAAGAGTTTGGTGAAAAAGGAAAGGGGTTGTTTTTTTAAAGATTATAGAGATTTAGAATAATGGAAGATTTCTGCTGTTAAGTCCCACTTCCTTTAAAAACACCCAGAAACATATTCCTGCCTCGCTCTGCCAAACCAGGCCAGTTTCAGAGTACGCTACTCAGAGGTGCCACCTTTCAGAAAAGCAGACGTCTGCAGCCCAGCATTCCCAGTCACAGTGCAGCTCCAAGCATCTCTCACGAATCTGGGTGGCCAGGCATGTCCCCCGCAGAACCTCCAGCTCTGCCGCTGTCTTTTCCAGGTAGACTTTCGGGTAGACCTCCCCTGACCTTGTGTCTCCCACTGACCTTCAGATCTCTCTGACCTCGTGTCTGTCTCTCTCTTGGACCTTCAGGCCTCCTGCTCCAATTTTGAATGCTCAGCTCAGAACTTGCTGTGTGATCTAATATCCAGCCCTTCCTATGATGCATTACTGTCTGCCATTTCTGTCAGCTCCCCAGTGTCTTCGACCCTCTTTCGGCTGCCCTGGGCGGAGGCCCTCTTCCCTTCAGGAAGACCTGGCTACTAACTTGCCTTTTGTTATGCAATGTTATTCTAAAAGCTGTAACATCCGCTCTCCCTGCCTCCAATCCTGCTTCACATCCTGCCTGAATGAAGGCATGATTGTGAGTATGTACCTCTATTCTCTGGCGACCCATGCTCCATACCCCATTACAGAAGGGTCATAGGCCTAGAGCTAGAGAGCTAGGTTCAAATCCTAGCCTGGCTACTCATGACCTTGAGAACGGACAAGGACTACCACTCTTTATTAAGTACCACCTGGTGCTTTTCCAACCTTAGGGCTCCACGGACTTTCACAAAGATATTGTGAACCCCTTTTCTGGATGAGGAAATTGAGGCTCAGAGAAGACAAGTTAATGACCCCAAATTCTCCAGAATTATTTAAAACCCAATGTCCTCACTCTTGCCAAAGCCTTAGTTTTCTCCTCTGCCCAGCAGAATGAGCCCCACCCACGGCCCTGACACTGCTGTCCCCTGCAGGTGGCCTGAGTGTGGGTGACTTCCGGAAGGTGCTGATGAAGACGGGGCTGGTGCTGGTGGTGCTGGGACACGTGAGCTTCATCGCAGCCGCCTTACTCCATGGCACTGTGCTGCGCTACGTGGTGGCCCCCCACGACGCTGTGGCTCTGCAGTACTGCGTGGTCAACATCCTCTCTGTCACATCTGCCATCGTGGTATGACCACCAGGCTGGGAGGGTGGCAGGGCAGGGGGAGGGGCTGGAGGGGGCTTGGAAGGTCTTTGACGAGTCTCCACCCAGAGCCTGGAATGGGCAGATAGAAAGCTGGAGCACTGACCCCTGCTCCGCACTTACCATCCACATGAGCCACTCAACCTCAGCTTCTTCATGTGTAAAGTGGGGGTCATAACAGTGTCCGCCTCCGAGGGTCCTGATGAGTGCTGAATGGGATCACCCACACAAAGTGCTCGGCACAGTGTCTGGCTCACGCTCAGTGCTCACTCCTGAGAGCTAGGATTATTGTTACAATAGGGAAATAGGCACGGCACTGCTGCACAGAAGGAAGGAGCCTCAGCTCTTCTTGGGAGGGTTCAGTAGGGTTCACAGAGGTAGAGGCCCCTGAGCTGGGAATGGACAGATGAGTAGAAATTCAAAGACAGGCTGCAATTACCATAACCCAGGTCTGTGGCCTGCTGGGGCCTCCAGGTAGTGGAGGAAGCTGGGGTGGCATTTCAAGCACAGAGAATGGCAGACGCAAAGGTGTGGACGGTAGGAGTGGCTAAGATCTGTTCTGGAGACACTGAAAAAAACAATTTATCAGGAGCTTAACCGCAGGCCTGGTCTATAGTAAGTACTGAATTAGTGGTAGCCACGGCTATGGCTGGATGTCAGTACCTATTTGATGAGAATGTGAATGAAGGGGTTCAATATTCTCAAGTTCATAAAGTTCTTCCCCACCTAGTAGAGGCGGCCACAGCCTTTGAGCAACATCTGCACATTGGTGTCCAAGCTCCTTCCCTGCCACCTCCTGGCTAAGGGACTTATTTCTCTCTCCAAGCCTGTTGCCTTCCCTGCATAATGAAGCTGGGCGGCCTGCGGGGCTCCAAGGCTTGGCTGAAGAGGAGCAGGGGCGCCAGCGAGTCCCGGAGCCTCAGTCAGTGGGGCAGGGCTGGGCCGCGCGGACGTGTGCGGCATGCAGCGTCCCTTAGAGTTACTGTTACTCTTGTTTGTTCCTCTCACCAGCCTGGATAGAAGGCAGGGGAGGCAGTGAGCTCAGGGTTAGGAGGTCTACCAAGGATGGGCTCTGGGCTGGACCACTTCAGCTTTACCCTCCTTTCCTCATTTAATTCTCACCATTCACAGCAACATGGGGCCATTATGATCCCTACTTTCCAGGGGGAAACCGAGCCTCAGGGACTCAGCCTCCTGCAGATACAAAGCCAAGCTGGATTTGAAATAATTGTGTCTGACACCAAAGCCAGCGTCTTTTCCATAAGCTCATCCTGTGGAGCAGGACTGAGCCCAAGTAGAGGCACCTCCTTGTGGCTGCGCAGTGAACCAAGGACGCTGCGGGGCTCCCGTCGCCCTACCTGCCTCCTGTGGCCGCAGCCCCTGCCTGACAGAGGGAGGGAGCACAGGGAGGAAGCCGGCTGAATGGAGCCCCTCAGGAACAGGGTGCAGCTGGTGGGTTGGACCCCTGCCTCTGGGCGTTGAGGGGGTTAGGGGTTCCTGCAGGAGCAAGAACGCAAGCAGGTGAAGGGGAGCAGGAAGGGCGTTCCTGAGAGGGCGCCGGGTGGGCAGCATCCTGAGCAGGCTGTGTGTGGTGTCCATATCCAGGGCAATGGGGGACAGGACCAGCCAGGGTCGGGTTGAGAAGCTCATGGGACCGAGGCCAGGTCACAGAGAGCCTGAGATGATTTACTCCTCTAAGATTTTGAATTCTGCTCCACAAAGTGTCCTGATTTGTTTATTTTGTTTTTAGTTCCTTGCCAGTTGAGTTACTTAGTTTCTTCCCAGATCTCTTCCACTCCAGGGAGGCAAGTCATACTTATCCTGGTACATGTCCCTGTGGTCCTGGGATATACAGGTCATTCATTCGTTGCTTGAGATACACAGCTGTAGGCAGTGGGGAGTCATGGAAGGTTGCAGGCAGGAAGCGATTGTTTTAGAAACATCTTCGGGGCTGGACCATGAAGAGGCAGTGCCTCCCTGCAGATCAAGGTAATGAGGACGAGGCCAAGCTGGGGAGGAGGAGGCAGCTGGAGGGCTGCACCTGGCGCCAGCGGAGTCCTTACCCCAGAGCAGCCCTGAGCCCCTTGCCCACTCCCCTCCAGCAGGGGGGTCAGGGCTGATGTGCGCCTCCCCACAGGTCATCACCTCGGGCATTGCAGCCATCGTGCTGTCACGCTACCTCCCCAGCATCCCCCTGGTATGTGGCACCTCCTGGGATGGGGCCTAGGGGTCGGAAGGCCTGGGCCTGGGAACCCCTGCTTGGAGGGGGCGAGCTTACCCCATGGGGGCCAGGGCTGCCCGTGGGCGTCAAGCCTGACATCCATTGACCGGTGGCCTCTCCTCTCCAGCGCTGGGCAGTGTTTAGCTCGAGCGTGGCCTGTACCCTTCTCTCTCTGACCTGTGCTCTTGGCCTCTTGGCCTCGATCGCCGTGACCTTTGCCACCCAGGGCCAGGCACTGCTGGCTGCCTGCACTTTTGAGAGCCCTGAACTACTGGCACTGGCGCCTGACTGTCCCTTCGACCCCACACGCATTTATGTGAGTGCTCAGGCCTGGGGTGGGGCGGGGGCCGCCCAGGTGCTCACCCAGGTGCTTATCAGAAGTGGGGAGGGGTCTCGGAGTCAGCCCCACCCTCCGCCCCCAGCCCCTGCGACCGACCATCTCTGCCCCCTGCCCCTGCAGAGCTCCAGCCTGTGCCTCTGGGGCATCTCACTGCTGTTCTGCGTGGCAGAGAGTGTGTTTGCCGTGCGATGCGCCCAGCTGGCCCGCCAGCTGCTGGAGCTGAGGCCCTGGTGGGGGAAAAACAGCCACCACACGGTAAGGCCTGTCACCCCCTCCACAGCCTTGACTCCCCAGATTTTCTGGGAACCCCTGCCAGGCAGCCCCCATCCCTCTGCACAGGGCTTCCACTTGAGAACTAGGACAGCAGTTTTCTCCCCAGGACCAAAGGGAGTGGCTTGGAGGCTCAGAGAGGTCAGGTCTCCCAGCTGACACCTGGTTTACCCAAGGCCCAGGATCTGAGGGAGGGCGAAGGGTATCTGGGATCGAATTGGGTATAAACAGCCCGGCTCTTGCCTGGTGAGCAGATGCAGTGATGCCCCTGTGCCTCAGAGGTCCCCCAGCCGTCCCCTCCTCCCGTTTCCCTGGGTGCCCTGGAGGAGGAGACCCAGACACAGGTCCGCAGGCTGGCAGCCGCCCACTTCTCTGCAGATGCAGGAGACCCTACAGTCTGCGGAGGACCATGACCTCATGAGTTGCTCCAGCTCTGGGCCACTGACCCTCTGACAGCTGATGCCTCACCAAACCTCGTGGCCACTGGGGCCCTGCAACCAAGTCCGCACCGTGACCACGCCAGGATTCCTGGAGCCCGCCCGTGAAGACTCAGTGGCCAGTCCTGGACCTGAGTGGGGATTTTAGCCCACCCCCACCCCCACCCCGGCCACCCAGCCCACTGCACTGAAACAAGACTTTATTCTGAAGTTATTAAAAAGAACAGAGATGCTCCACAAGGATGCATGCAGCGGAGGAGGGACTCGGCCAGGGGGCCTGTGCTTCTTTCCCACGCAGGATGCAGTGTCCGGGGAGAGGGGCAGGGCTCCAGCGTGTGTCTGCCCTCATATCTGTGTGTGTGTGTGTGTGTGTGTGTGTGTGTGTGTGTGTCTGAGGAAGCAAACTGCACAGAGGGGTCCATGGGTCTGTGTTCATCCAAGTGCTGAAAGGCAGGCCAGGGTTTGCGGGACTCAGGGCTGGGTGCTGGAATTGGGAGGTTTTCCATTGGCAGCTTGACCTGGCCAACAAAAGCAGAGCAGGAAGGGTCGAGCCCTCCTGCAGGAAAGGGTGACTCAAGCTTTTTCCTTACCCCTCCTGCCCCACATTCTTCTCTCCCCGCCAAATAAAAAGACCTCTCCTCAGGTGGGCTTCAAATCTCCCCTCCCCTCTGCACCCAGGCTGAGGTCTACAAGGGTGGGGGGCTTGCCGGGGTTGGGGGAGGGAAGTCTGACCTCTTGGCTGCGCGTGCTGTGGGGAGGTAGCATGACTGAAATTCCGGTATCTAGGAAGGGGAAGACTGACTCGGAGCCTGTGTCTCCCTCTCATTGCCGAAGGGAGATACTGCCTCTGGGATTGGGGGTACTAACCGCGTGCTTGGGCCTTGGGGGGACTGCAGGGGTCCCTTTTCCGTAGGCTCCCCGCAGAGTGCAGACCCTGGGGGGAGGCCCAACTGCCTCCCAGCCTGGATGGACACAAGGGGGAGGAAGCCGAGAGCCGGGAGAGGGCCAGTGAGGGTAGGGAGGAGGGGGAACCTGACTCCTCGCTCAGAACTGGGAGGTGCTGCTGGGGTCGCACTGCAGCAGACGCACGATGGACGGGTCGCTTTTGGCTCCGCGGATGAACTCCTCCAGGGACAGCTTGCCTGCAGGGCGAGGGGCACAGTGAGCGGGGCGAAGGCAGCCCCGAAGCAAGGGGGGGGCGGGGCCGAGCGGCAGGAGGGGAAGGGCTGTGGCGCCCGCCCGCCCCTGCCTCTCACCGTCGTTGTTCGTGTCCATTTGGCGGAAGATTTTCTCAGTCCTCTTTTCCGGGGTCGACTCGTCCTCCGGCATCTTCATCACCGACGAAACCATTTTATAAATGGCCTGGGAATCGGGAGGGGAAGGTAGGGAGTGAGAGGGGACAGCCTCAGCCCACCCCTCCTCAAGCCCCAACATTTAAAAACGCCCCCTGGTACGCAGACGATTGTCGCTCCCGCCAGGGTGAGGTGGGGAGAGGGGCTCAGGGAAGAGTATCTGGGAAAGCTGCCCAGAAAAGGGAGGGGGCGCTATTGGAGTGAGCCCTGACCAAGTTCCCCTGGAGCGCTAGGTGGGAAAGAAATTATTGACAGAGGGATCTGCATATTCAAAGACCCTCAACGGGAAGATCTGAGCGGGAGCCAAAAATGTTGGGGTGGCTGAGTACAAGGGATGTGTAGAGATGTTGGAGGACATCGGGGCCGAGGCTTCCGAGGTCACTACGGAGTTACCACTGCTTCTCAGAAACTCCTGGCGGCTGGCGCTCGATGACCCACAGGGGGCGTTGGGCTGCAGTGCCGCTGTGGCCGGCAGGGGGCGCTGGGCAGCACCCCGGGCTGAAAGGCCGGAGGCACTGGGCCCAGAGGAGGCGGGAAACATTATGCAAATAAACGCAAATGAGCATGTGCCAAAGGTGGGGACAACCTGGGCTCTGCTTGGCCCAGGCTGCAGTCGCCACTTGCTGGAGCTCAGGAAACTAAGTCGCCACTTGCTGGAGCTCTGGAGGTCTGGATGCTAAAGAAGGTTTTCGCGCTAAATGTATACAAGGCACGTGGGCTTTGGCCTGTGCGATAGGCTGGGTCCTGGAGCTCAAGGACCGGACCGAGCCATTGTCTCAATCTTCCAGCTCTTTGCTACTGAAACCATCTCCAAGGATCCTGCCTCTCTTCTCCCATACCAAAATTTACTCTGCCTCAGATCCAGCTTTAGCCTTCACACTGGTCTCATCCAACCTCATTTTCTTGGGTCTGTCCCCCACTCTGCCTCTGAAAGCTCTTTCCAAACACAGATCTCCACCACCGCGTCCCCCGCCCAGCAGCCCGCCCCCTTTTTCCAGTTATACACAGGCCTCCCTCCAGGCCTGCCATGCACTCAGCTCCTTCTGGATGCTGCCCCACGCTTCTTCTGCTGCCTCCCACTCCTCCTTGTGGCTCAGCTTACATGGTGCTTTCTTAGGGAGTCCTTCTCTGATCCAAGCTGGGTCAGGGCCCACATGCTGGCACAGAGCCTCCTGGGCTTTTCCTTTGGGGACACCTCTCTGGAAATAATTACGCCTTTGTTGGATTGTTCCTAGTCCCCAGCATACAAATAAGGACCATGGACATCTAGCTAGTGCCCATATCCCCAGAACTGAGCACAGTGCCGGGTATCTGGCAGGAACTCCCCTTTTGAAAGCAGTTGGCACCTTCCCCTGCCCTCTGTACCAAGTCCAAACCATTTGGCCCTTGGCATTCAAAGTACTTCACATTGTTCCTTCTGACCTCTCTACCACCAGGCCTCCCCTGGTGGGTGCTTCTGCCACAACCAAATACACCTGCACATCGCAGATTTCCTAGCATTTACAGCCTCTGCCTGGAACAATAATACTAGCTACCATTTACCAGGCACCTACTATGTGCCAGATACTTGACATGCTAAGCCTCACAACAGCCCTGAAGAGTAAGTATCATGATCCCCATTTTCCAAATAAGAAATAGAGGCTCAGAAAGGGAATTGAAGGCAAAGATCAGATTAGAACCTGCTCCCTCTTTGTGGCTAGATAGATGCTTGTGAAGTGGACCTGGAGTGGCATCCTGGTTCCACCAGTCACTTGCTGTGTCACCTTGGACAAGCGCTTAACCTCTGTGAACCTCAGTTTCTTCATCTGTAAAATGGGAGTAATATTTCCCTCCTGAGGACTGTCTAGAGAATTAAATGAGATCGTGTGTGTAGAACAGTGAATGGCTAAAGTCAGTGGTCAGTACACAGCAGCTTGTATATAATTATTACCCATCCACCACATCCTCAATTCTCCCCTGACCTCATTCCTCCAAACTCCCAGATGCCACTTTTATGCCCCAGTCATCCTGCTGGTCAGCGTGGCCTGCCCAGCAGAGGGGGAGCCGCAAGCAGCCAAGACGCAATTTCTTCCCTCCTAGTGTACTCACCTCATGGCCTCAGGGCATAGTCCTGAGAAGGCCTGGGCGAGTGGCTTACAGAGTAAATACTCCACTTGTGACAACTCTACTCCTGGGCCTCCTAATTAATTGTCTGGAATTGCTGCTCTTTCATTGTTTCACTGGAGCCAACTTGTAATTAATCAGTCACTGGGGTTTGCAGAGCTCTGTCTGCACTGACCGGCTGGGACTGGCTGATGGGCCGCGGTGAGGGGAACCAGGGCCAGAGGGTGGGGGCCAGCCAGGGGGTCCTGAGGATGCCCAAAGAATGGGACTGGCTGGCGCCTCCAGCAGGTCTGAGATTTACCAGTATATACCAGTGAGGCCACACTAAGTGGTAGACACAAACAGCCCATTCACACCGGTTGGTATCCGGCTGCTGCCCAATCCGTGAATAATCTTCCACCACCCTGGCTGCCCCAGCCCTTCCACCAGGACCCCCAGAACTCCCCACTGTCCACCAACTAGAGATTTAATGCCTGGGCCACGGGAGTCATTGGCAAACGTAAAGGCTTCCCCCTAGTGATAGGCCTAGGGAGGGCACCGCCTCCCAAGGCAGCCCATTCTACTCCAGCTGGAGAGAACAGACCAAGACTCTCAGTCACAGAGAGGCCAGAGGCCAGTATGAGCTGCATGAGTTGGAAACGGGGAGCAGTCGGCAGAGCTGAGGGATGAAAAAAGAAACGATTCAGAGAGGCAGAAGGAAAGGGAGCAAGAGCTCGTGCAAAGCCGTGCACCAGGATTACTCGGGGCCAAGGGTGTGGAAAAGGCCACTCAGGCTAGAGCAGAGAATGTGCAGAGGAGAAAATGAGGTTTACCAAGTGCCTGTTATACTGGGCCTCCTGCCAAGGTGCCTATCCCACTTTATACCTATAGTAGCCTTGAGGGTTAACACCCTCACTTTACAGAAGTTCAGGAAAAGAGTGAATGAGAATCTGGATGGGTAAAAATAGAACCAGAGCCTTGAAGGCCTCCAATGCTGGACCAAGGGGATGGACGCTTTAGAAGCTTTTTGACATAAAGCTAAAAAGTCACACTTAAATTTGTATTAAAATGGTGTTCGTATCAGGTCTTTAAACCTGTAAGTTCAGAATCACCCTCCCTATTTTTCGGGGGCGGGGGGGCAATCTAAAAGTCGAGGCAAACTCTAGAATTGGAAGCCAGACCCCTTTCAAGAGGCAGCTCTGAGTCGTGGTCAGCTTGAGCTTGACCCCACTTATTTGCTGTGTGACCTTGGACAAGCCACTTCACCCCTCTGAGCTTGACAAGGTTGTTGTAAAGACGCACTAAGCTCATGGCTCTAAGCACCTCACTCATCATGAGGCTATTAGTGGGCCCTCAATTAGTCGGAATGTGGCTGAGCATCCAGGTAGAATGTGGACCGTGGATCCAGGTGGCCACACTCAGAGGCTGTGTGGCTCCAAGCAAATGTCTTTACCTCTCTGAGAATCTGTCTTCTCCTGAGTAAATGAAGAGCAGTAAAACACAGCTGGCCTGTATTCTGCAGAAATGTCAAATCTTTCAAGACAAAGGAAGGATGAGGAACTGTTACGGACTATCAGGGACTAAAGGGACATGAAAACAAAATGCAATGCGTGATCCTAGATCAGGGGAAAAAAAATTACAAAGACAGTTGGCAAAATTAGAATATGGTTTGTAAGTTAGATAATTACATAGTTCCTATGTTAAATGTCCTGACTTTGATAATCATATTTTGGTTTATGTAAGGGAATGTCCCTGTTCTTAGGCAATATATCCTGATGTATTCAGGGGTAAAGGGTCCTGTTCAGAACAACAATAAAACATTACACACATGTACACACACAATGATAAAACAAAAGTGGTCAAACATTAATTGGTAAATCTGGGTAAAGTGTATACAGGAGTTTACTCAACTTTTCTTTAAATTAGAAAGTATTTCCCAGTAGAAGGTTTTATAAGTGGGTTGTAAGAATAGCACCTGCCACCACCTACCCAGTACAAGGGCGGTCAAGGGGACAAGAAGAGTTGGTGGGTATAAGCTGCTGGGCCCCACGCCTGGCATTCCGAGGGGCCCAGGGGCCCACCTGCACAATCTCGAGCATCTCCTCGCGGCTGATGTAGCCGTTGCCATCCAGGTCATACATGCTGAAGGCCCACATGAGCTTCTGCTCCAGGCGGCCGCGTGAGGTCACACTCAGCGCGATGATGAACTCCCGGAAGTCGATGGTGCCATCACTGTTGGTGTCGAAGGTGCGGAAGACGTGCTCAGCAAACTTGGAGGCGTCACCATAGGGGAAGAAGTTGGCGTAGATCTTCTTGAACTCGTCCACGTTGAGGATGCCTGTGGGGCAGTCCTTGAGGAAGCCCTTGTACCACTCCTGCAGCTCCAGCTCCGAGAACTCTGTGTTCTCCCGCAGGTCCTGCAGCATCTCCGGCCGCAGCTTGCTGTTCTGCTTGCCCATGGCCACTGAGCCGATCCCACCTGGGTCCCCAAGAGGGTCAAGGAATGGAGAGGGGAGGTCAGGCCCTCCTGGTCCTTTGACGCCACTCCAGGAGGGCGCCCAGACACCAGCCACCCCAGCCTCTCTTTGAACCCGGTGAGAGAGACCAGCTTGCCCACCGTCATGCAGCCTGCACCCAGGCACCCCGCCTCAGGGACAGGCTCCACCCATTTCCCCAGACCTGACACTGCCCGGGGCCAGGCCTGGAGAGGAAGGGAACGGGGCTTACATTTACTTCGGCCCTTCTCAGGGCCAGCCACTGAGCCTCCACAGGTAGACAAGATTTCACCCTCACAAAGTAAAGCTGGGAATGAGTCCCATTTCACAGATGAGCAGACAGGGTCAAGGAAGTGAGGTGGCCTGGTTCGAGTTACACAGCCACGGAGTGACAGGGCTGGCTCCCAAGTTGTCCAGGGAAGTGCGGAAAGGCTCCCGGCCCCCCCACTCCTACGCACTGCCCCCTCATTGTCTCACATATGGCTGAGCACCACGAATACACCTGCAGCCCAGGTGCTGGCTTGTTCTCCCACACATGAACGTGACAAGGGCAGGCATGAGGCAGGTGTAGCCTGGCTCCAGAGCCAGGCCTCCTGGGTCTAAATCCCAGGGCTGTGCCTTCCCAGCTCTGTGACCTTGGGCAAGTCCCCTAAACTCTGCCTCATCTGTAAAGTGGGAGTAACAGTACCTACCTCATTATATTGTGGAATTAAGTTAGTTAATACATATAAAGCATTTAGAACAATGTCTGCACATATAAGTGCTACATAAGTATTAAATAAATAGATGTCCCAAGACTCATGCACAACAATAGACAAATGAATACATACTGACACGACACATATGCTACACAGCCCACCAGTCCACACACCAGGTGCCATGCCACTCACATACCAGCCCACACCCACCCGTGGGTCACCATGCCTCCACACATGACAACATTCCCTCTGCTCTACAGCTCGCATGTACTGACACAGGGCACCACGCATGCATAACTCCCGTGCCCTGCGCATCAATACATACCAGCCCACGACCCCACACGTCCCACATATGCTACCACGCTCCCATGCCGACACGTCTCCCATGGCCATCTGCGCACGGGCCCCTCCGGCACCCTTGCCGTCTTTCCTTCTCAAAGGGAGCGCAGCCCTTCTCAGACCTATGAGGGGTCCCTCTTCCAGGGAGACCCGCAGCCAGCCTGCCCTCCTCCAGCACTTACCTTTCCTCTGGTCCGCCCAGAAAGGTCCCCTCAGTGCAAGCGCTTAGAGTGCGGGGGCCTCAGGGGACGGCAATGGGGAGGGGACAGCCCGGCAGCTCTGGGCAAGGATGTGGGAGTGTGTGCAGGTGCATCTCCCCTCACTTGGGTCTGTGACGCTGGGTGAGGGAGTTCCTTGTGTGTGCATTTGCACAAAGCTCGGTGCACATGTGGGTGAGCGTGTGTGCTCATGTGTGCATGTGTGCCTCTGGTTTCTGCATTACATTAGTCTCCTCGTGTGTTTCAGGGCATATCCGTGTGACTCGGTATGCGCCCAGTACAGTGTGAGGGGGATGTGCCTGTGTGGCCATGCGGGGGACCTGTGTGTGTCTTCAGCAGTGTCTCACATGCATGTTTCAGTAAGTTGGTCACCCTCCTTTCTAAATCAGCCTCTTCTGCCCTAAGCTGAGGACCCACAGAACAAGTGTGTGGGAGGAGGCTGAGGAAATGCATGGGGTTGGGGTGGCGGAGTGTGTCCCTTAGTCCCTCCTCAAGGTCCAAGGAACTGGGTCATCGGGGAGGGGGCAGAGAGATGCGCTGGGCAGGAGAGATCTTCCAGTGCCCTTTCTTCCCTGCCATCCTCAGAGTTGCCCCTCCTAGTGAAAGACTTAGAAACGAGGGTGGTAGGAAATTCTGTTGTCTCTCAAAGACCCCCCCCGCCTCGCCAGCCCCCCAAATGGGAAGGACCCACTGCTCGACCTCAGAAACCTGCCTTGAGTACCTTCCCTGAACCTCTTCCCAGCTCTCGCCCTGAGCTTCTGCCTCAATCCTTTCAGCGCTCGGAGAGCGCCGGGGAAGCGGCCCCTCCTGGAGGGGGCGCTCTGAGCGGCCGAAGCAAGACTCCTCCGGGCCGGCCAAGCGAAGGTCAGGACCCTGGAGAGCTCCGCGCGTTTTCCCCTGACAGCCCCCGCTCCCGGGGCACCCGGTGGGCGGATTCCTGGGAGGCGCGGGAGCGGCGGGGTTGGGGAGCCCTGGACGTGGCCCCCTACCTCCGGCAGGCCCCCTCCTCGCATCCCCCAGCCCCGGCCAGAGCGGCCCCCACTCACCCAGCGACGCGGAGACACCGACTGCGCAGGGAAGGCGGCGCTGCTGCGGCGCGCGGCGGCAGAGGCGGCCGGAGGGGCGGGCGGGGGGCGGGGGCAGGGACTGCGAAGGAGACTCCCCGCAGCGCTCGCCCCGAGTCCCTCCTCTCTTGGGGCGGGTGGGTCCCAGATCCTCCCTTTCCCCTCCAGCGCTGGGGGTGGAGGGAGCGATGACTAGGCTCCGCCCCTGCCCCTGCCGGGGAGAGGGAAGGGGATGCCCTCACTTCCCCGCCCCCCTCACGAGGGAGCACCCGCCGGGGGAGCAGGGCCGAGGTCCACGTCTTCGTCATCGCGACTCAGGTGGCCTGAACGGGGTGGCGGGAGGTCAGTGTCCAGGCGCCTCTTTCCCAAGCCGAGGCAGCCAACACTCGGCCGCTCACCGCCTTCCTCCCCCACCCCTACCTGCGCGCGGAGCCGCACGTCGAATCCGAATCCTGGCGGTGCGCTAATTGCCCTCGCTGCCCCCGCGCCTCAATTCCGGAACTTGACTGGGGCCTCTTCAGGGAGAAGGCAGCGCCCACTCCTCCAGTCCTTGAGGTCTTCTGGGGCCAGGCGCGCTCCCTATCCCACCTCCGCCTTAGAGAGCAGAGCAGTGCCCCCCAGATCCTGACCGCCCCTCAGGGTATCATTGCCGGGACCCCTCGCGGAGCCCCCCAACATTGATCTAAAGTGCTCCTCCTGCCACCCAATCAAGGAAACCCCCTGCCTCCCTCCCCAGTCTCTGTCTATGTGGGCTGGGGAGCATCTATCTCCAGCCCGAGGGCTTCCCAGGAGCATGGATGTCCAGCCTCAGCAACAATCCCCTAACCTGAGCTTGAATTTTGTCCTTTCTCCATCTCTGGAGGTGGCCCTTATTGTCCCCACTTCACGGACGAGGAAATAGGCTCGGAGGGGTTAAATGGTCTTTCCGATGTCTGGCCGCTAGTGAAGAGAAGGCTTGGACTTCGATCCACGTGCCCTTAACCATTCGTTGCATACATATTTACCAAGCGCTAGTTCCGAGCCCGGCCGGGTTCTAGGCAGCGAGGTTACAGAGTAGGCAGTGAACAGCGGACACAATATACAAGTCAAATCTGTACAGTGTGTTTGGTGTCTTTGGAAAAGCTGAGATTGGCCTGCAGAGGTTGGGTGGTGGCAGTGCTTAGGACCATGCCCAGGACTTCAGGTTTTATTTCAGGGGGGCTGGGGAGCTCTTGGGGCTGTGAGAGAGTGAGAGGGTCTGACTTCCAGGTCAGGCCTACGTAGGCATTCTGTCAAGAACAAACGTTGAGGATTGGGGACCCGGGTGGGACCAGGGGACCAACTCAGGGTGAGAGATGACCACGGTAGCACCCGGAGGCACTTTGAAGGCGGGCCGCCTGCATTTGTCTTCTGACTGGATAGCTCTTCCCAATTCTGTGGCAGCAGCTGGCGCCCTGCTGGCTCCCCAGGGCTCAGACCAAGGCTCCACCTCCAGGTTCCAGACCAAGCGGCTCAGGCGGTCCCAGTCCCGCCTGAAGTCCCTCTGGCTTGAGGGCAGGCAGGGAGGGGAGCTCTCAGCTGCAGGAGCTGGGGAGCCAGGCTGCGGAAGACTGGGAAGGCAGCTGGGCCCTCCAGAACACCAGTTCCAGTGTGTGCCTTGGCGCTGGTGTTGGGACCCCCGGTGGAGGCGTGAGAGATGCCAGACATGCGTGGGTGGTTCCCAGCTGCCTCCTGCGCCAGGACCTAGGAGTGGGAAGAGACTTGCTGCTCAGCCTCCACTTCGGGCCCTTTGAGTGACAAGCTCTCTCCCCTCTCCCCACTGGGCCAGGAGGGGCACTGTGCCTGGGGCAGGGAGAGGGGCCTGCCCTGCGCTCATTGCTGCAGGCCCTCCTCCCCCTCCTCCTCCCCCTCCCGCTGCCACCTGCCTGAAGCCAGAATCCTCCCAGCCTGCTCTAGGTCCTCTCCCCCGTCCTGGGGGTCTCAGTGTACGCTCCCATGGGCTGCTCAGCCACCCTCTCTGCTTCCCCCCCTTTCCCGCCCCAGCCTCACCTCCTCCAGGCTGACTCCCTGGCTCAGCCCCGCAGGAGCCCACTTCTCCTAGCCCCACTGTTTTTCTTCTCCATGAGGTGCACTCGGATGCCCGGCCCCCAGGAACCCCCGCCCCTGTCCTCATCCCGTTGCTCCTCTCCAGACAGGGGCTGCTGAAGGCAGAGCCATGGCTCTCCCTCAGCCTGGGTACCGCACCTCCCTTCGACTTTCCCTGCACCTCAAGTGCGTAGGTGGATCTGGAGATAGAGTTTGGGCCCTGGTAGGTTCTGCTGGGTACTTCCCATCAGCCACCTCTCCCCTCCCAGGAGCCTAAGAAGCTCTGGGAGACTCCTGTGGGCAAAAATGAAAAGCTTGGGGTTTCCACGCTGCACTTCAAGGTCCTTGGTTCAAGACCTCGTGCCCTGAGATACAGCCCCGAATGGTGGGGGATGGAGGGGGAGTTGTCAGCAGGCCTGGGTCCCTCACTTCTACATGATTTGGAGGAAGTGTTTTCCTCTATCTGAGCAGAAAGGTTAGACAGGTCACTTGGGTGTCTTGACATTTTCCAAGATGAGAGTAGTGACAAGTCGGGCCTCTTTCACTGCCTCGGTGGCCCCCTCGGGTCTGAAATTCTGGGCAGGAGCACAAACAGAGGAGGCCCCAGCGGCCCTGGCACCCTGCCGACGTGCCTTCCACGGAGGTCTTTTGCAGGGGTGGGGTGTCCTTGCCGATGAAACTCAGCACCCTCCCACCGCAGACTTCGACGTCTAGAAGGGAGAAAAGGCACGTCTTAGGGTGGGTGTGGAGGGTGGTTGTGAAAAGAACTGAGCACTGGGCGGGGTCACTGGGAGACAGAAGCGAGGACAGGCCCCAGGGGAGAGGGTGTCCCCAGCACCGGAGAGCTGGTTGCCCTTCCCTCGCACTAGAAGAGGAACAGACCGGCTCCCAGGTTGCCAGAGAGAGAAGCAGCAGAGGTGCATGGAGAGGGGACCGTGCAGCTCTTGAGCACCTACTGGATGCAGGGCGTTTTGCACGCGTCACCTCATTTGATCAGCACTAATCCTGAGGAGTAATAATGTCACTGCCATTTTGCAGATGTGGAGCCTGAGGCTTCCGAGAAGCGAAGTCACCTGCCTGAGGTAACACAGCAAGAAAGTAACGGTGTCAGCATTTGAACCCAGTTCCGTCTGCTTCAGGAGCCCCTGCCTAGAAGCCTCTCAGCAAGGTTGGTGGAGGTAGCCCCTTCCCAGCCCCCAGAGGCCCAGTCTCCACCCTCCCCTCTTTGGTCCCAAATGGTTTGGAAAATCCTGATGGGAGCAGATGGCTGGGACAGATGGAGGGAAAAGCATCTCAGGGCTGAGTTACACAAACAAACATTGATAAAGTGATTAAAGCCTCAAGCCGCCCTTTCCCACAGGGCCCTGCCTAGCCCAGCCTGGGGCACAGTGGACCCTGAGGGGGAGGCCTGGGGGTGTCTGGATGCCCAGCACCTTAGCCCAACTAGTCCCAGCTTCTGCCCGCCCCCCGCGCCTCCTCGCCGCCGGGGACCACCCCCGGACCAGAGCCCAGGGTGGCAGAGCTGCCAGGAGCACAGCCCGGGCCTGGCTGTTCCCAGGGCAGCTGGGCCAGGAGGAACAGGATGAGGCGGCGGCCGGGGGTGGTGGGAAAGCCCTGGGAGCCGGGGCTGCAGACCCGTTGTCCTGGGGGAGAGGTGCGCTGTGGTGGGGCTGGGACCCCTTGAGTAAACTTACTTTTTTAAAAAAGATTTTCTTTATTTATTTTTAGAGAGAGGGGAAGAGAAGGAGAAAGAGAGAGAGAGAGAAGCATCAATGTGTGGTTGCTTCGCATGCGCCCCCTACCAGAACCCAGACCGCAACCCAGGCATGTGCCCTGACTAGGAATTGAACCGGTGACCCTTTGGTTCGCAGGCCAACGCTCAATCCACGAAGCCACACCAGCCAGGACCCTTGAGTAAACTTACTTTATAGATGGGGTCCAGAGAGATGCCATGCCTGCCCAGGTCACATAGCAGCTTTGTAGCTC